TCCTGCCTCATCCTCCTCAGTGCCAGAAGCACAGGCATGAACCACCATGCCCAGCTTCCCAGTGATTTTTTGACATAGCATTTTTAAACAGCGTTTTTGAATGGTTGTGATTTTTAGCTGTTATTTGGTAGCTAAAGAAATTTACTAGTACATTATTAGTAATGTGTTTTGGGGTACATTATTTGCCTCTGCTTCTTCATCTATAATGGAGAAAATCTATGTCACAGAGGGCTAAATTAAATTGTGCACATAATTTCTTAGCACAGTGCCTAGTTTAGAGTGAAAATAACAGGCATTATATTTTGAATTGGTTATTAGTCTACTTTTGTAGTATTGTATTGTTACTGTTTTCTTATTGTTGGATATTTAGATTTTTAAAAATTTTACTCGTATATACAGTACTAAGGTGAATATTTCTATGTATGATCTCTTGGTATTGTCTAATTTCTTGAAAAGTGGGGAGATACTATGATGACTTTAAAATTCTTGGAGATACCTATATATCTATATCCTCCCCATATCCTTTTATGGAGGTCTTGGGCTCATGTGTAATTGCATCAATAATGAATGAAGGAGGGTGTGGATTTCCTTCATTTTTACAAGCATGGAATATTGTGAATTTTAAAAAATTTGCTAGTCTGATTGGCAACAATTGATGTTTATTTTGTGTAATTATAACCAGTAAAGTCCACAGTTTTCGTATGCTAATAATGTACATTTTCCCTATGGTTAATTCATTGTATTTTGCCTTAGTTCCCATTATCTACTGGTATCTCAATCTTTGGTATTTTTTAAGAATAACATTTAACAAACCTTTTATTTTGCTTTTTCATGGAAATATTTGGTAAATAAAAGTATATGTAAATTATAAAGTATAGTAATAAAATCATTATCAGTGAAAACAAGTAGACTGTTAAATCATTAAGTGTTAAAACTCCTGTGGGAGTACCCTGAGTGGTTTTACCCCTCCCCCCATGCCCCCAAGATAGTATTGTTCTAAATTTTTGATTTATTAATCCTCTTACTGCTCGTTATAGTTTTATTATCCGTTTTTGTGTAAAGTAATATATTTTTTGATGATTTACAAATTATAAATACGGCATTATACAATAGTATATTTTTCTGCTTTTCTTTTTAGCATTCCATATTTGAATCCTGTTACTTTATGCTTGAAAACATTTTGTCATATTCAGAGGGTTCTTACTGTTTTTGGTTTTAAAATCTTAAACACCAGCTATGTGAATTTTATTTTGATAGTGTTTACAGGGGGATTATGTAACTTGAATTTTTTTTCAATAGCTAAACAGTTGCTTCAGGGTTATTCATTTCTTTGCTGTTTTCTTTATAATTTATTACTATCTATATAGTCTGGGCTTTTATATATACACCATATACTAGCATCTATTTGTTGGTTTACTTACCTGCTTTATGATTCTTCCAGTATTACTGTCCTGTCGATTTGGTTATGGTAACTTCATAGTATCTTTTAATATCTGGTGTTTTATCCCTTTTGATCGTTTATTTATTGTCAAAAATGTTTTTAGCTGCACTTTTCTAATGACTTGTAGTTAGAAAAATAGAGGCATATTTTGTAAAATTCTGTTTTCATATCCCTTTTCTTCCTATCTCCCTGAACTTAAATGGTAATCAAAATCCAATTATTTTACTAGAATTATATTAACATGAAATTTTTTTTTTTTTTTTTTTTTTTTTTTTTTTTTTTGGGTTTTTCTCCGGTACCGGGAACCGAACTCACGGCCTTGCACTTGCCAGGCAGGTGCTTTTGCCGCTGAGCTAAGTCCCCAGCCCTATTAACATGAAATTTAATTTTGGAAGAAATTATTTCTTTATATCATGTAATTTTATATAGGAACATTTCTTTCATATAATGTAAGTTTTAATTTTTCTATGCTGCTCTTAGTTTTTTGTTAATTTTAAAATTGATTTGCAATATTTCTAATATGTAGCATTTTAGATTTACATTGTAAAGATGAAAAAGTTTTATAAGTAAATTTTATGTCTTAATTTTGTAGGTACTTTCATTTACACATCCCATTTCGTTTCATTCTGCTGAAACATTTGAATCACTTCTGGCTTGTCTAAAAATGGATGATGAAAAAGTAGCAGAAGCTGCACTACAAATTTTCAAAAACACAGGAAGCAAAATTGAAGAGGATTTCCCACACATCAGATCGTGAGTTAAGCTTACTCTCTGATAAATGTTTGGGACACATACTGTTTCTTTCTTTTTTTTTTTTTTCTTTTAATTTAAAAAAATAAAAGAAGGAAAACATATTAACCAACAGACATTATGATTTCTTGGAATAAAGAAAACCTTAGTTGCTCTAAACTGCCAGAAATGTTAAAGAACAAATGACCTTTGGGAGTGGGCAGAAACATATTTGCATTATAGAATATAATTTACTGTAAGTAGAAGGAGCAGAAAAAGCAGAATAGAAGGTGGAGTCAATGCTCAAATTTTGGGCAAGAAGAAATTGTGTAGAATGTGGAGTACATGTTCAAATGTGATTGCAGTTAAAGAGACTGAATTGTAGATAATGAAAAACTGTAATTAATTTCTCTGGAGAAGACAAGAATAATGTGAAATGAAAACATTCAAAAATAAACAATTTTGGATGAATAAAAATGTAAATCTGGAGGTGAAGACTTACATTCTAGCAAAAGTATACTGATATAATTTACTGAATTTTTAGGGATTACAGAAATTTCATAGACATCAAGAAAAAACTGATCATGTGCAGCAAATAATGAGGTTGACTTGTTTGTAACCGTATAAATTTTCTGAAGTTAATCATTGAACAATGGAGAGTTTTATTGGAAAAAAGGAATGTTACTTAGGAATCCCCTAGCCAGACCAAGTTGTATATAAGTGAGGGCAAATGAACAATATTACTAAGTATACAAAGACTTCAGAAACACATATCCCCCCTTTATATTGTGAGGTCATTTTTTCTACTCACTTGTATCTCTTTTTCCCCTGGAATTCAGTTTTGCCTACGTCCTTAAATCTCATTTTTGTGTTTTTCTTATTTATATACTGCTGATATAAGTAAACAGTATTTTTAAGAAAAGGCTGCACAGATACATTTGAAAACATTTTTAAAAATCAATTCATTATTTAATTTCTTGTTTTGTTTTTTTGAGACAGGTTCTTGCTGTGTAATTCAGGTTGGCCTTGAATGCACTATATAGTCCAAGCTAGCTTCGAACTCACAGCGATTCTCTTGCCTCAGCTTCCTGATTGCTGGGATTACAGGTGTACTCCATCACACCTGGCACATTTTTTAAAAAAGATGATACAAATAAAATTGGGAGGGAAGAGAAAGCCTAATAGAGTGCAATTATAATTACTCTCATAAAAGCACCAGGAAAAATTGTCTGGAGGGAGATATTTCAATTAAAATCTATAAGAAACTAGGAATTCTAGTTCTTCTTAATTGCTCAGAATGTGGAATTTAAAGGGCCCTCTTTCTAGGAGGGATAGAGGGGGCCCAGAAAGTGGGTTGCCCACCAACCCCACTTCTCAAATATGTTTAGGGTAGTAACTTTTAAAGCCAGGATAATGAATATGAATGCTAAAAGTTTGTACAAGTTATGCCTCCAAAAGGAAGCTAAGAAAATTCTTACTAGAGTGTGATTTTTGTATAGTTGAAATGTTAGCAAAAAAGATAATTTACTATAGGCAAACAAGAATATATTGTAGCAGATGTAGATGTAGTGGACCTTCAAGTTATGACCAGCTCCACATACGAACCACTTGGGTTACAACTGAATTTTAAGTTTAACTTAATGACCAAAGTCTTGAGTTATGACCTGAATACCAGCTCTGTGTGCAATTGTAAACAAAGATTCACAATGCCAAAAAAGCATATATAAATGTCTGTGTCATTCTGAGCCCAGATGTGTGTGTTTATGGACATGATTTTGATGCTTTATATAATCACTATGATTTTGATGCTTTATATAATCACTATGATTACTTGGCGATCAAAATGGCCCTAGAAAGGAAGCTAAGGAAGGAAGGGAAGATAAACAAAGCAATAACAGTCAAAAAGAAGGGACTTGTGGAGAAATATGAGAGTGGCTTTCATGTGACCATCTCACTAATATGTATAACATGTTGAAATCTACCCTGTTGATAATTTTACAGAGAAAAGATTTGTATAAGGAAGCTGGTGTTGCTAAAGGTGTTACTCAAATTAGGATCAGCAGTGTTAAATGAGGTAGAAAGGGTATTATTAGTGTGAATAAACAACAGGCAGATGGCAGATTATAGTCTGAGTCTCTAATATGTGAAAAAGCTAGAGCTTGAAGTGCAGATCTTATAATGGATAATCCATCCATTAATGAGTGATAATGGTGAAACATTTCAAGTTTCATAATTTTAAAGTGAGAACTCTGGGGTTCATAGTGTAACTAGGCATGGTGAAGCAGCCAGTGCTTATAAAAGGGCTTCTGAAAACTGCATACACCACTTTGAAATGATCGCGCAGAGAAATGGCTTTTGCTCTCATGAAGTTTTCAACTGGGGTGAAACTGATGTTTTCTGGAAGAGAATGCCCAGGAGAACATACTTTACCCAGGAAGAGAAGAAAATGCCAGACCATAAGCCTATGAAGGTTGTAGGCTAACCTTTTTGCTATGTGCCAACGTGAGTGGTAACCTCAAGATAAAGTCTCTCTTGTTTTATCACTCTGAGACCCCTAGATTGTTCAGAAAATGTAAGTCATGAAGAATAGGCCTAGGGGTCATGTCGTGATCTAATGCAAAAGTTTGGGTAGCAAGACTTTTTCTTGAGTGAAAATATCTAAAGGACAAAGATTTACCACTCAAGGCTCTTCTGATCATGTACAATACTCCTGCTCACCCATGAGATTTAGAAGAATTGGCTGAAGAATTCCCATGGCTCGCAGTTGAATTCTTCCCAATGAGTACAACTCCTCTACTGTAGTTTATGGACCAGTAGGATATAGCTAATTTACGAAGCAATACACCAAGGAATTATTCCTGATGCGCTTCGTGATGATCTCACATACAGATTTAACTCTTAAGAGTTCTGGAACGAACATTACAACCTCATTTCCTATGTGGGGTTAATTAAGAAATCCCTGGCCAGTGTCTCTCTAAGGACACTGAGATCTGCCTGGAAGAAAGTGTGGTGTAAAATTACACAGAAAAGAGACTTTCGAAGGCTGTGTAGAGGAGCCTGAGCCTTCAGTTGACCCTGTGGTTGATGACATTGTCACTGTAGCAGAGTCCATAGGGTTGCAGGGTAGACAGTGGTGATGTTGAGTGGTGGAGGAGCACTGAGGAATTGTCTTCAGTGGAACTTCAGCGACGTCTGGTTAGGCAACAGAGAAGGGCAGCTGAGGCGCTTTCTGAAGAGGCGGGGGAGTATCAACAATCAGTGCCGCAAAGTTCTTCTGAAACAAAGGAAATCCTGAAAAAATAGACAGAGCTACAGACATTTGTAGAGAAGACCCACCCACCCAGAGGAAAATGCCAGTCTTTGTGTTCACTTGCTTAATGGCAGTGTCATTTCATACTACAGAAGAGTGTTAAAAGATAGAAACAGACAACCTTAGACCAGTTTTTAGTTCTGAAAAGATTGAGACCTAGTGAAGCAGAAGGGGGGCCTAGTGGGCTACGGAGTCTCCTTAGGAGAAAAAGGACACCAGAGAGCCGGATTCCTGATGTTCTTACAGAAGGAGAAGCTCCTTCCCTTTTCGTCCTCCCTTCCTGCGTGCCAAACATGTCAACTAACATGTTTAGTACAGTGTGAAATTGTTGTTTCTGGTACAGTAGGCACATTATGCAATTCTTTATTATGCAGTGGTTAATTAGGGAGTGCTTTGCGAGGTTTGGAATGCACTATAGGTAGTTCCATTATTATGGGAAAAGTAGTCTTGACTTAACCAACTTGAATTGCAGCCAGTCCTTGTGAATAAATTGAGTTTATAAGTCAAGGGTGTACAATAATTCCAGGAATACAGAGTTGGTATTACAAGCCTAATATTGATGTTTATATTTCATTATGTAAAAGGGTAAGAGGGGAGGAGGATACCATAGATTATTTTGATAGATACTGAAAGGGCTTCTCATTAAAAAAAAAAAATCAGGGTATTTCTGATTAAATTCAGGTTTATAGGGATAAATTCCTTTATAACAATAAATATCTCTCAAACCAATAGGCATCATATAGTAAAATAGTAGAAGCGTTCTTAGTAAAATCAGAAACAACGTGAGAAACCACACCATGTTTTTGGAACATTGGCCAGTATAATTGTGTGAAAAAATGAGAGACAAGTGTTGGAAGAAGCAAAAGCATCATTTTTCTTGAAAATCCAGGAGAATTGATTGAAAAACAGCTACTGAAACAGGGTAGCCAAGATAGTATATAAAACTCCAAAGCTTTTTGTCTGTCATTTAGAAAGTAGGAAGAGAGTAAAAACCAGATGACCAAGAACTAGAATATACAAGAAATTATCAAATTTATAATGACAGATGAAGAATATAATATTTTATAGTAAATTGATCATGAAATTTGGGTTGCCATATTACTCGCTTACACAGTGGTTTACAGCTTAACAGAGGAGAGCTTTATTTTGGCCCACAGTTTCAGTGGCTTCAGTCCATGGCCGGGAAGCTCCAAGACAGAAATGGCATGGTGGAAGGACCTCATGGAAGAAAGCTGCTCATGACATGATGGTCAGAGAGCGGAGAGAGAGAGAGAGGGGAGTGAGGTGCCAGGGACAGGGTTACACCCTGCCAGCTCATACCTTCGGTGACCCACCTCCCAACAGCGCACATTTGGTTCCTGAATTCACCAGTGGATGAATAATAAATACACTGACACCTGTACTACTCCTGTGGTCCACTTAGCAAACACATGAGACTTTTGCAAGATGTTTCAGATTTAAACCATAACAGTTAACCAATAAATAACTAGCCAGCTGTTTTTAAAAGAAAAATGAATGTAGTCTTCTTACCTTGATTTTACATATATTTAGATGAGTCAATGATAAATTCTTAATTTACGTAAGATTTAAATATATATAAAATGATTACTAAAAGTATTAGTAACCAGTATGTTTCTATAGTGTCTTTGCTTATGGGAAAAGGGTTACCTATGCCAAGTCATAAATAAAAAACTGATGGATTAGGGTTTTAAAA